AGCCTGAAATGTGGCAAAAGGTTGAAAAGTTCAAGGGGGCCGAATACTTTCGCAAGGCACTGTATATCTATATCTCTTGGAATCTCGAGGTGTTCCGCTACTCTGTTTGCTCTGCCAAACTACTCCCCCTATCCACCCTGTTCTCCTTTCAGTTAACAACAGTGCCTCAGCCCCAGGGGTTCTCTCTTTGTGTTTACAGCCTCCTAGCAACATATTCTCTTTTCAATATGTGTGAGTTACTCTGCACATCCCACACTCCAAAAAGCTCTAAATGAGTTGTGCATGTGTTGTACCTGTGCCACCAGCAGAATCCTGACACTCACTCAGTTCCAGAGCTCTCTCCAGGCCTTCATATACCTCTTCATGACAACAATCCATTTTATAACCACTGCCAGGCTGTTTAGTCTTGTTGCATTCAGTGCATCAGTCAACCAACTAGGTGTCTCGGGTCCTGGGACAGATTTCCTGACAGATTCCCATTCCCAGGGTATGGAATAAGCCACTCGTGCTGTGTTGTTTATGCTGATAACCCTGGCTTCTTTCAAGAAATGTCTGGATGAGATCCTTCGATCAATTAAGTGCTAGTACAGGAGAGATGGCCTGAATTGCCTCCTTTCGTTTTTCAGCCATTCTGTTACCATGTCCCCCTCAAGGTGAGGGCATTTTGACTGTATAAGCACCAGGTGTCATGCAAGTGTCTCGTTGTCATGACACCACGCCCCAGGTCTCTAGAGCATGTGCTGAGGCACAGTGGGTTTGGCACTTGTCTGGCCTTTGTGGTTTTGTTACATGGAGGTGTGCCTGGGGTTCGAGTTTAGTGTCTGACCGCATGCGCTACATGCGATCAAATTTATTCACAACAGGATTTATTATTTGTTAGATGTGACATATTTAGATGTGATATATATTTTTAATTAATGGAGCTTCTGATCATCTTTAGAGTGAGAGAATGGAGATCCAAACCTTTTCCATGTACTATATTAGTCGTATTTTATGCATGAGAACTACCAAAAGCTTCACTGCTCTGGTAGGTCTGTAAATAAAAAACTATATAATTAAAAACTATAATGTTTCAGTTACTATGTCTATAGCTCTTACTTATTTTTATTTAATATATTATATACTCTTTTTAGTGTGGAGATGATACCTTTGAAAAATATCAAGAAGTCAGAGTCAAAACATTCCATGTGCTTAACTCAGGTACCTGCAAAGCAGCACTGGAGCCGTGTATATTCTTAAAAGTAGAGAAACATTAAAAAGAGAAATTGGGTACTAGAATTATAGAATCAGTTCCTGCATGGAATGATATGAGAGTTATCCCTATAGTGCTATTAGATGATGATACTTGAATTTAAGGCATACTACTAGCATTAACTAATAAAGCTAGGTGCTGTGGCTCGTCCTATAGGGCACTGGTCAGTGGCTGGTACGGGTCTGGGTTCAATTCCGCAAGTCTCCACAGAACCCAAAGCATTTTTTGGGGCGGTACGGTGGCTCTATGGCTTAGGATCTGGGTCTGTGGCTGGAAGGTTGCCGGTTTGTATCCCATGGCTGGCAGAGTAATCCTACTCCGTTGGGTCCCTGAGCAAGGCCCTTAACCCCAACAGCTCCAGGGGTGCCGTATAAATGGCTGACCCTGCACTCTGATCCCCAGCTTCTCTCCCTGTCTGTGTGTCTCATGGAGAGCAAGCTGGGGTCTGCGAAAAGACAAATTCCTAATACAAGAAATTGTATATGGCCAATAAAGTGATCTTAAAAAAAAGGATTACGCTTACCAGCTGTTTTTGTGCCAGTTTTCTTTTCCTTTCAGCGGGGTCAAACTGTGTACGCTGCCTTTTGAAGATGGGGACGCTGGCAGATTTGTACTTTTTTTTATTTTTCTGTTTCATGGCTTTTCCATACCTCAGAGATCAGGAGCCTTCCGATAAACAGCTGCCAACACAAACCCATCCATCACCGGGGGGGACTGACAGCGTGCTGCACGCAGCTGAAACTTCCCAGCCCCCCGAGGCTTGTGGCCTGCCAAGCAGGCCCACCGGCTCTCTCCTTTCTTCTTCTCTGAGCTGTTAACGTTTTACTGCCTCTCCGGATTAGCTGCTTCCAATTTCTGCGGAGAGCTGAACCTGAAACAGACGCGGTGCAGTAGCTAGCGTGACTGCACAGACATGGCAGCAATTTAGGGAGCACAGCTTCTGGGAGGGCTCCCGCTTTCCTGACGTCTCAGCACATATAAAACAATGCTTAACTAGAGAGGCCCCAGTTAATTGAGGTTACGGTGATACCTGGCAGGATTACAATGAACTGCCTTGGTCCCATGGTGCCTTGTTCCACAGTTACGCTCACGCCCATACCAGCCTGCTTCTGTCCGCCTCCCTTCCAGAGGCAAATGGAAACCATCCTCAGTTCCACAGGTGAGGACCGAAGGGCACCCCCTCTCCCTTCAGTTGTGTAGTCTTTAGGAAGTGAAAAAAATAAGACCGTCCAAATTAGGATTTTCAATTGGAACTCCCCTGGTTCTGTTCCCGGTTTTAAACAAGATTCCAGTCCAGAAGCTGTAAATGGGCCAGAAGCCTCTACTGCTGTGCCCTGTATTTGGCTCTTCTAGTTTTACACAGGTTGGGCATCTGTCAGACTGACTTTTTTGCACAGGTCTGCATCTCCAGTTAAATTCATATGTGTTTTTGATTTTTTACACAAAGGCTCGACTTTTGGATGCAGAGTTAAAAAAAACAAACTCTCTGTGACTTTCCTAGTAAACTGTAATGATTTTTAATCAAATAATTTCAGGGGTAGTCTGATATTTTTTTTTTCTTTTTGCTGCGCCCTCTTCCTTTAATTCAAAGTCTAGGGTCCGGGCTTGTGCTCTACATGTGTATCTCTCTTTCTATCCCAGATGAACTGAAGGCTCAGCTGGAGCAGCGAAGGACACGGAGGGCGGCTCATGGTGAGTTAGATGCGGCACACTCTCACTGGCCTGACAGCTTTCTTACTCAGACAGACTGGTTGAAAGTATATTTAAGTATACTTTAATATAAGTAATCTCTTATATTAAACCATTGTTCTAATGAGGCATATTGCTTTTACAATAGGTAAAATATAAGTTTTGATTCTGAATCTAGATAAACATGAAGAGTGGTTTAATATGCATCACCTTTTTATTCCTTTTCATATTAAATTTTGTTGAAGTGTGTTTTTTTTTGTCATTACCTACAATAGCAAACTGCCTTCTTAACATTAAACATGTCATGACTCACAGGTACAATCACTTGTTGGCTAAGGACTTAAAATTAAGCAATTATGTGATCCAAATAGAGTAAAAAACAATACACTTATTGATTCATAGGCCCTTAATGGAATCAGCCTTAGGTTACCAGAACTCAGAACTGTGTTACAGCAGAAATCAGTCATAGTGCTGGAAAGCACTTTCTTTGTTTTTTCTTCCAAGATAGTTTGGCAGTGTACAGAAACAAGTTTTAGTGCTTGGGAAGAGGCAAGAATGTTATGGAAACGTTAGAAATTTGGGTACACTATCAAATAATTAAAATGTTTCTTTTTATTCCTACTTCTAAAACACATTGAGAATAAAATCTTTGATTATTCAATTAAAAAAAAAACTTATAATACACAATGCCTATAGCAATAATGTAAAAAGACAGAATTCCTGCAGGATGTGGAGTAGTTCTCTGTCTTTTGTCACCTTGTGTGAGGAGGGCAGGGATGTGTGCTGCCTGCAGAAAGAGCTGTAGGCTTGAATCTCAGTTGAAGCACTGCTGCTGTTTCCTCGAGGATGACCTTGACCTGGTTTGTTCCTGGTAAAATACTCACCAGTACAAATGGGTCCAAATGTAATTCACTTCAGATAAAGGTGTCAGCCACATCAATAATAATTAAGCTAGGTTAAAGTGAGAAAAAGAGAGAGGAACCTATACTGATCAGAGCAGTTCACTGAATTTTGTGAGCCTGCCCTGATCTCAGTATTGTGTGTGTACCTCATCTTAGTGCGTCTCTGCTTAGCACCTTGATAGTGTACGTGCTGATCTGAAATGCTGTAAAGCATAATCCAGGCTAGTGATGAGAGTGCAAACCAGTGTGCACTGCACGGTGAAGAAGAATATCTTTGATTTTTACAACACTGGACATGTTCCATGACCAGTCCCTAGAAATCCCTCAGTGAGTGAGGCTCTTCAGCTCTCACAGCTGCCTTCCATCATCTGCCTGCACGCCAATGTACTGATTGCTCTGTTTGTTTGCAGAGTCCTCTCTGTATGTTATTTGTCTCTAAGCGAGGCACACTTCTGCATTGAAAAGCTTGGTTTTGGAATTGCAATGGAGGAAAAGTCGGAGAAAGGAGCAGAGCTGAGGCTGAGTGCGTGCGGCCTTTAGAGGAGCAGGCAGCTTGTCGGATTCCTCGGGATTCCAGTCCAGTCCAGAGCGCCTGACTGGAGTTACTTACACAGGGGCCTGCCTCCTGCTCAGCAGATATGCATGCATATCGCACCTGCTGTAAATCAAAGAGGGGACAAATAAATAAAAAGGGTCTGCTTTGCGTCTGACTCTTAACAATTCACTGGGATAGATCATACTAGGGTTTTTTGGTTAGATTACATAGAAAATTCCAAATCTGTCATTTGGAAGGGCAGATACAGCGCTCCTCCTTGACTCATGTGGACTGTTTCAGCAGTGAGCATCCAGCAAGACAAGTTTTTTCCCATTGCTATAATCCATTAATAAATCCACTGCGATTCTGCAGGATCTCCAGTGTTTGTGCAGTAAAGAATTTTGAAGTAATGTATATACGGTATATAATAAATATTTTGGGGAAAAATCACCTTTTGTAATTAAAATTGTAATTTTCATGTCTAAACCACAGTGGCACATAGGGCCAGAGCTCATCCTGATTTCGTTAGTGTTAAAGTGTTAATCTCAAGAAGGGACTCTGGTCCACAGCAGGGAATATCTCCGGCAGTGCTGGTCCCTATTCACACAGGTGGACTGAAGCAACTGAGGTAACGTACCCCACTCAAGGTACAACAGCAGGAACTAAAATCCACAGACCACCATTTTGAATCCAGAGACTTACCCACTACGATATGCTTATCTATTAGGATATGTTGGTATCATAAACAGTGTGATTTACAGAACTTATACATTCATAACAAACAGCAGTCAAATCCAAACCTTTTATCCACAGGGCTTGAAGTAAGTGAGCAGGTGTCTAACTTATACCCAAACCGCTAATATTCTTTCGTCGGCTCCAAGTGTTGATTTTATTTTACGTAAGGTCATAATGTTGTCTTCCAGGCACCAATAGCATTAATGAAAATATTTAAATGCTTTTCTTGAGTGAAAAGCCTAACTTTGTGGAATTATGGTGTACTGTACACAAGCTACTGTTCCAGTCAGGATCTCAGTCCAGGTTTAATCACTTCTGTTTACCAAAAGACCTGGTTGGTTATAGGAAATGTGACAGTTCTGGAAAACCTCATGCTGTTGCTTTAGTTGTTTCTGATTTTCTAAATATCAATTGAATAGTTTTACATAAAATGAGATAGCTCTGATCCCCAGGACCCAGTGAGTTCTCAGAGTGCTTAAGACAAAAAAAAAATCTGAATTAGTCTATCTGAGAAGATTGCCTAGATGATACTAATTAAGTTATATAAGCAATAGCTCAATCAGAGCAAAACAGGGCTTGACATGACCAATCACCTTTCAAGCAATATTATGATTAAGGTTGATAAGTAGGTCATAATTTATATTGCCAATACAATTCACAGAAGTGATCAGTGAAGAACTGACATGTCTTGGTAAGAGCCACAGGAGCCCAGTAACTCCAGTACTCACCCTTCTATGTTATCCTACAAGGGGAAAAGCAGAGGAATAGCGAACAGAATGACATGGAATCTGATCTTTCTCAGGTTCAGTCCCAGAAACTGTAGAGTTGGACTGTCTACTGTAGATGATAGCCACGCGAGCTGTAGAACTGAACTTTTAAAAGAACTTTTACCCATAAGATATTCACAAGACCTAAAAACACAAAGAAAGCTACAGACTAGAGGATTGAGCCATTCTGCCTTAGAAGATATTGGATCCAAAGATCCCATCCAGCTGTTTCTTGAAGGAAATGGGCAGCTTGTTCCATACTCCCACAACCCTGTGTGTAAAGAAGTGCCTCCTGTTCTCAGTTTAACTGCCAAGTAGTCTTAACGAATGTCTGATTAGAAATACAGGAGCCTAAGTCATAATTGTGGGATTTGCTGGATTAAATTTCTAGTCCAGATGTGACACAAAGAAGTTATATTTGGTTGCTTATATAGAGATATGTCATTTACTGTATTTATAGACACGACAAAACATAGCTTTGTTTCCATTTTTCATCCATGCTGGATGTTTAATCTGCATATTTGGTTTCTGTGGCTTTATTAAGTGCATCACTCAGACATGTCATTGAGAAGCCAGATCAGATTAAGTACCTTCCACTAAATGACAGTCAGAGTTTTTCAAACTGAGAATGGAATAGTTCTGCTATGTTGCTTGGTGACATGCTTTATTATTTAACAGTGTCGTAATTCATATTAGAAGTGCTGTGACCAAAGTGAGGCATTTCATATTTTTATAGTTTAACATGAAACCCACTAAGTTGAAGTCAGTGAATTCAGCTAAAGCTTTTCACTTTAACACAGATTTTAAAACTCAGAAATTAAAATGTCACATCTTTACAGTACTGCTCATGATTATGTGCTGAGACAGAGGCACCAGAATGGAATTCACTAGTCTGACTGACATCATTATTTTCATATACGAACAACGTTTCTTGTTTGAATCCTTTCAGGAAACCCACCTTGCGTCACAAAAGACAAGGAAGCAAGGCTTCAGAGAATTGCTACAGTTTACTAGTTTCCCTTCTAGACTAACTTAATTTTTTTAACATTCATGTGCTAATGAATTCAACAACAGTGATAATTCATGCCCAGATAAAAAAACTGGCAAATTGTTTCAGTTCACAAGTTTTAACTTTAACTTGTGTCAATAATTTCAGAAATCTTATTCCCTTGCCACCAGGTTTTTGTACATTAGAGATCAGTGAGCCAAAGCCTATGAATAACATGATTTTAAAGTATAATGTGTTCTCTTGTGTCAGATGTGTTTTTATTTGTTCTAATTTTAGCATCTAGTATTATTTATTTAAACAAGATGAAAGAGAACACAATTTAAAATGTTATCACCCATCTAATTTATAGTATAGTCTAGTGTGTGACCTCCGGGAATAACAATAGTATCTGTTGTTTCCTTGTCTTTGTCTCAAACTATGTAACCTGGTACTGTACCACTCATCTGTCTCCCTGCATATCCGATCCCACTGAGTCAGAACTTGTGCTCCCTCTAGGGGTGACTGGCGGCACTGCAGACCCGGCTGAAACTGACCCAGTGGAGGAGCAGCTCCGCGCTCAAATCGAGGAGGAAAAGAAGAAGTGAGAACAACTGATTGCTCCTGGGGATCACTGTTAAAGTCCCAGCACGTTTTCTAACCTGAATCCACAGGCCCGCCACACCCATGTTTCAAATACCTGCGGGGAAAGGGTGTGTCTGACACAATATCGAATCCTGTTCCAGATTGAGTTAATCTCTAGCAAGGAGACAGCAATACCACTCTGGCTGCACTGAGTAAGGTGACCTAATGAGCACTGTGTGTAAAGTGCAAGGCCTCTCTACAGTGCAAATGGGAGTGATTCCAGATATCCATATTGATATAACATGAAAACACCCCATGCTGGATGCTTTTGACTACAAAACAGGCTAAGTGGGAACTAATGAAACTGTTAGAACATAAGAAAGTTTATAAATGAGAGGAAGCCATTTGGAGCTTATTTGGAGTTAGTAGTCAATTGATCTAAGGATCCATTGAGCTTTTTTTTTAAAGAAACCAAAATATTTGCTTCAACAGCAATTTAGCTTGTTCTAGACTCCCACAGCCCTTTGTGTAAAGAAGTGCTTCCTGTTCTTATTTTTAAAATAACTTTTTTTAGTATTTCCTTTTGTCGTTGACTCTGGGTTGACTTTGTCAGTGCCTTTGAAGATTTCGAATACCTGTGTCAGATCCTCTAGTAGTCTCCTCTCTTCAAGACTAAAGAGATTCATTTCCTTCAGCCTGTCCTTGTAGGACAGTCCTTTAAGCCCTAGAATGTATCTGGTTGCTCTTCTCTGGACAGATTCCAGAGCAGCAATATGTTTTCTATAACATGGTGACCACAATTGCACACAGTGATCTAAAAGAGGTCTTACTGGTGCATGCAGAGGAACTGAAAAGCTGTTTGGTTATGTTGGTTTCTAAAGCCTCTGTTTTGCTTGTTTCAGCCACTGAACAGTATAACACTACCCTACCATTCCTTTTCCTGCTGGGAATGGGACCTTGAGCCTGATTTTGTTCATCCTGAAGCAATATCTTATCTGTCACAGCATTTTCTAAGTAGACTTCTTGGAAGTAACCTCTAATTGTTCCTAGTCCTCCAGTTGTCTTAACGGCTGCTTTGCAAACATCTGAGTGAGAGACAGAAGAAAAAAGGGGTTGTATTGCAGAGTTATTTGGCAATTAAAGCCATGTAAGCTTTGTTATTAGCCGCAGCTAATTCACGTGGAGCCCCCTACTTTCATTATGGCCCCAGAGATAACCGTGTCTTACTGGTGTTTGGTTTCACACCTGCTTACTTTCTCACATAATTCTCACGGCAACCACCACAAGCACATTGTTAAAGTCAGGAAAAGAAACTGCCGCAGTCTGGCTGTCAGTCTGATTTGCTCTGTTGTGACTCTCCCGCCACCCCGCCAGTTACAAGGCCACCTTCGGCAGGCTCAAGGCGCTGAAGACCGAGATCGAACACCTGCAGCTGCTCCTGGAGCGGGCCAAGGTGAAACTGCAGAAGGACTTCGAGGAGTGGTGGTCCGAGGAGGCATACAGATTGCAGGTATCAGGTTTCTAACTGAACCCCGCACTGCATTGACTGTGCCCCACTTACAGAAGTGTCCCAGGCTGCTCTGGGGCGCAGACACTGCCCAGGTACAGGGACAAGCCTGGAGCCTCCACCATACTCACCCTTCACCACTTCTTTCTAATCTTAGAATCTCCTTTCTTCAGAATAATACTTACTTAATGCTTACACTTAGTGCTTTTCTGGACACTCCTCTCAAAGCGCTTTACAGGTAATGGGGACTCCCTTTCACCACAGCCCTGGATGATGTGACGACAACCATAGTGCACCAGTACTCTCACCACACACCAGCTATCAGTAGGGAGGAGAGCAGAGTAATGAAGCCAGTTCAGAAATGGGGATCATGAGGAGGCCACGATTCATAAGGGCCAATGGGAAGTTTGGCCAGGACACTGGGGTAACACTCCTACTCTTTTCAAGAAATGCCCTGGGATTTTTAATGACCACAGAGAGTAAGGACCTCGGTTTTACATCTCATCCGAAGGACGGCGCCTGTTTACAGTATAGTGTCCCTGTCACTTTACTGGGGCATTAGGACCCACACAGACCGCAGGGTGAGCACCCCCTGCTGGCCCCACTAACACCTCTTCCAGCAGCAACCTTAGTTTTTCCCTGGAAGTCTCCCATCCAGGTACTGACCAGACTCACACCTGCTGAGCTTGTGAGTTGCAGGGTGATATGGCTGCTGTCAATACAAGCTAAGAGTTAAGAGTACCTCCTTCCATCAAGCCTTAGAACATTTAAGTCTTTCTAAAAACCCTTAATGTTTCCCTAAGCCCTTAGTGTTTGTTTAAAAAACATTTAAATGTTAATCAGATTACCAAAAGAGAATCATTTGGCCTGAGACAAAATCGACCGAACAAAAGCGGGTCATTTTTTCAGAACGGTTTTCTTGAGTTAAATGTTTTTGTCTCCTTTGTTTCAAGAAGATTGATGTCTCTCAGTATTGTGGAGATGGAACTAACTTGCTCTGTAAAGGGTCGTGAAGTTTCTAAAGCCTTAGCTACCAATATATATTTTTGTCTCTGCATAATGGATCACAGTCTGCTCATAAAAAATGCTTCTGCTTAACTCTGTGCATTTCTCCTGTCTCAAAGCTGAGCTCACTGACAAATATTCAATTTCTGCCATCTCAAAGCTCCCATCTGAATGTGTTCCACTCAATTTCCTCAAGGTGAACCACAAGAAATTAGGGCTGCATGGAAGAACTGCATTTTCCACACTTAAACGTGCATGAAATTAATCCACACAGCATACTGGTTATCACTTGGAATGGGTGAGAAGATACCGTCCATAAATCATCACTGACGAGACAGTTTCAGTGTGCTTTTTATCGCTCAATGACATCACTCATCTAATATTTGTATTCTGTGTGGAGGTCGGCCTGTCTCACAGCGCTTCAGTGCTCAAATGAGCAACGTTCACACGATATGCTTGTAATGAGGTAGCGGATTTTGCAGGACATTTTTAGAATGCAGAATAGTGCTGTGTGTCTCCAGGTGGGGCTGCTGGTACAGAATGGTACTGTGTGTCTCCAGGTGGGGCTGCTTGTACAGAATGGTGCCATGTGTCTCCAGGTGGGGCTACTGGTGCAGAATGGTGCCATGTGTCTCCAGTGGGGCTGCTGGTGCAGAATGGTGCTGTGTGTCTCCAGGTGGAGCTGCTGGTACAGAATGGTGCTGTGTGTCTCCAGGTAGGGCTGCTGGTGTAGAATGGTGCTGTGTGTCTCCAGGTGGGGCCGCTGGTGCAGAATGGCCATTGTGTTTCTCCAGGGTGGGGTGCACTTCAGCGGGGACTGAAGTGGGTCCCCTCCTGTATATGTAAAGCGCTTTGGGTTCTTTAAGGATGAGAAGAACAGTATAGATGCAAAGAACAATTATTATTAATTGTCACCCCTTCAAGTGCTTTCAAGGAGACAGGTGACTACGAAGTTCCTAGCCCTGAGCTGTCACCAATGAGCCAGGAGGAACAGCTGTGATTGCACTGGACGAACATGTTGAATTTTAGGTTGCCCAAGAACATCCTGTTATTGGTTGGGGTTTGTTAACTACTATAGAAACTGAATTTCACAACAGGAAATATCCCGGAACTGTTCATTGTAATGGAATTTTTAAAGACAGGATAAATACTTATTTTATTTTTCTTTTTTTTTCAAATTTTTTAAACTTGTAAATAAAATGGTTTATTATGTTTAATAGTGTTTTTGATCCAGTAAAATTCTAAAAAAAATAAAAAAATATACTTGTAATATACATTACACTACATTACTCCACTCTAATATTTTTATATTTTTAACCTTAAAAATTTCACAGTTTCAGAATGGTGTGTGTTTAGCTTGTAAAATGGACGTGTGTAAGTGACAACTACTGTTCTCATAAAAAGGCTGGATCATCCTCCCAGTGTGTTGCAATTCCATAGAGAACCAGCAACAGTGTTTCCTTGGAAATTAGTGATTTTGGCATTTGGAGCATGTTGTTCTGGATAACTGTGTTACCAAGTACTCCAACTACTATTTTTACAATTATAGCAGACTCCCTTTTGCAGTCTTACTCCACATAGGAAAAAAAACATCAAATTAATCAGTGGATCAAACAGGCTGGTACAAAAAAGAGGCATTAAATATAAGAGGCAAGAAAATGTTCTATTGGGATCAATAGAATTTGCAGTATTTTGAAGGGCTCTCTCTATAAATTAAATTAATAACATGGCAGTAAAGCTAGCAGAGACAGGAAAAGCATTGGAGGCCCCATAAACACATAAAACAGTGAAAACTACAGCAGTGTACAGGTAGTGTAGACACAGCAGTGTAATGAAAAGTCCCTGTTGGTGTGTATTCCATGTTTACAATGAATACAGTCAACTTGTTTCATCCAGTTAAAAAATCTCCTTAGTTGTCTGTGATGGTAGATGGGGTTTGGGGAGCATTATCGTTAATGGGCTGTAAAGCAGTCATCATGCTGCCTGCCTTGTAGATACATATTGTACTCCAGAAAGCTCCAGTCAACCGTGCCGAACTTTTTCACAAAGCGATAAATGAAACACACAGGAGAAGACTTGGGTCCTTTGCACATCTGCATCTGGCAGATAGAAAGGTTCCTCTCAGAGTAGCTTGCAGTTGTTTTGGTCCTCAGTGGCTCATTAAGAAGGGAAGGGAATAAACCCATTCTGACTCAGGTCACTGGTCTTACATCCTGCACAGTCAAGGGCACCCCATCCATGCATTAAAAGACTTGACTTTTCACAACAGCTTCAGGTTCTTTTTTTTTTTCTTTGCAAGGTGGTCAGCTGCTTAAAAAGATGACATTTAATCATTTCCTCTGAAGTTTGCATGCTTGTTTTCCACTGAACAAGAAGAGGCCTCCTAAGTGTGATCTTAGGTTTTCACATTTCAATTTCACACAAGCCAGACCTGTGACTTCTTTATCTACGTGACTCAATAATACAGAATAACAGGAATAGAAGATCACCGGAGAAGACCTCTGCATAAAACACTGGACCTTTTCAAGATTTTGTTTTTGCTGAACATTGAATATTGCAAATTGTCATTGTTAACCAGGCTTGATATTAGTTTCAGTATAAAGTGGCAATTAAATAAATCTTGAAGGGCCGCTGTATTGGGTGTCTCCAGGAGTCATCTCCACTGAGAGCTGGTCACTGCATGATCCAAGACAGAGCCTTGATCCTGTCTCCTATTGTTTTCACAGCAGGCGCCACCATCGGAAGGACTAGGTCAGACTTCAGGGTGGACTCCCCAAGAAGATGCTCCAAGATTCCAGCCCAAGCCTCTCATCACCAGGTTAGCTCTGAATGGACAGACATGGCCCGAGTTCTGTTCAACTTGTACTTATCTCTACCCAGATTCCAGTGCAGCACTTTTCAGTCCTTTCTGAGGTAGGGTCAGCTGCGAGTGATTGACCCGTCAACTTACCAGGTCCGTATCAGGGAGAGTAGATTCAACACTGCTGAACAGAGTCACTGGGAGAAGAGTTTGGGGTGGATTCTTATGAGTCACGTGGACAAGTAATACACTACCTTCACTGCCCGCTGCATGAAATGCAGCTACAATAGTTAGAAAGACAAAAGGAGAGCAACAAAAGGGGAAGGAGAAACCGAAATTAAACCTCCAAATATATTTATTTCAGTCTTATTTGCACTAACAACTGTACCGTACCGTCACGTTGTACCGTTGTCATGTACTACAAAGGGGTCCAATGTTCTAGAAATTCAAGGAGTTTAAATAAACCGTTATTTCCACTGTTTTGTAGATGTTTGCAGTCCAGTCAAGATTCCTGTAAGGATGTAGACTGAATAAGTGTTATCCCACAGCCTCATCATCAGGCGTCTGGTGATGATTTTATCATGTCTGTTACAGCAATGGATCACTGACCTCCAGTTTCTGTAATAGAAAAAGAGTAACCTCATTCAGGGGTACCACTAAAAACATCCGAAGGCCCGTCAACACGGAGTCCCCACTGGGCAATAAAGGCATCACAAATCTCATGAGCTGAAATGCAGATAGGCACATTCTGCAAAACTGCTTTAGAAAGACAAACTCCTGATAGTATTATTTTTCATTGCATTTGCCGCAAGACCATAATGGATATTTAAGATGCCCTTTAAGCTCTGCTGAAACACTGAGCTTTGGCTGTGGCAACATTCTTCATTCTAAATAAATTTTAACCAAAAAAGTCTGAAAGTCTGCTGGATCATGGCTTCCTCTTTCCTTCAGGTAAGCAAACAGTAAAGCACCCCAGTAGACATAAGTGTGTTGCTGTTTGCTATCTGTGAAGCCACTGGCAGACCACTGCCAAGACAGTAGGTCATTGTGCAACATAGCAATTTCAAGTAGAAAGCCTTGAGCTTCTGCTTGAAGACAATGTGGAGTTTCGTCTTAATAATCCTTTAATGATGGGATTGCATTCCTTTTCTGTACCAGTGGGTGGAGTACAGGTCTCAGACTGGTGAACTGGTTTAACACCAGTAATAGGCATCATATTTGAGCTGGCAACCTCACAGCCACAGGCCTTTTCGCAAGCTGAGTATTTCCCAGCTTGATAACCTCTAGTAGGACTGACAGTGGTTGATCATTTTCTTTTCCATTTTGACAGACTTATTACACTCTGAAAAACTCTTAAATGACTAATACAGTAGGTTTAATGGAGGCAATATGTATTGGTATTTCTGCAGTTTTTTTCCTCAAATGTCTACATTTGAAGGTGATGCGGAGTTGTGCTATCTGTTCACTGTCATTTACCAGTCTGTTCTCCTGTGCCTCTGTGTTGATGGAATCTAAGCTGTAGAAGCAGCCGTCTGCAAAGCCTGGCAGCAGGGCTTTGGAGAACGGTTGAGACGCAGTGTGCGCTCCTCCCTTCCCGCTGCCTTTCAGTCCCCAGTTTCCAACAAGCTACACTCATGAAAGACGTGGCGGTTTTATGGTGTGGGGTAATTACTTGTGGGGGCTAAGCAGAGACCACCAGAAATTGTTTTTATTGCAGTCCTGGCCCCTAGTGCTAAAGTCACAGGCGGCTTGTCAAATGTCCCGCTTCACCACCTTTATAACTGGCAAGAAAAGAGCAGAAAGAGTGGTACTTCTCAGAACTCTGTTGCCCCCTGGTGCTCACGGTGTGCCATTGTCGCTAGTAAAAATGGAAAGATTGTGTCTGACTGAGGAAAGCCTGCATTACTGTTACTTAACACTACTGTCTTTCAAAATGCTTTTTTTTTACCAAACGAATTATTGTTCTCCTGTGATAGGCTGATGTTTGCTTTTAGTAGAATTCAAGTTTCATTTTCCAGAAAGCCAGCTTGAAGAATATAAGACGGGTGACAAATGAAATGAACCCATCAAGCCCATGTACATCATCTTGTGAATCCAAGGATCACATCCAGCTGGTTTATTGAAAGAAGTCAACAACACGGGAGGGTTTTTTGTTCCATACTCCCCCAACTCTTTGTGCAAAGATGTGCCTCCTCTTCTCTGTCTTCTTTTCTTCAAAAATAACCTATATTAAATAAATGCTAAAAACCTGTTGCAAGGTCAGTTAACAGTGTTCTCTCTGCTGTCCTTCTGTGTGTTATACAGGGAGTCCAGCGTAACTAGTGGTGCTTCTGAGAAAGAGTTCCCAGTGAGAGGAGTGGCGGAGCCCTACAGCCCTTCTGCTAGAGATCTGAGGTGAGGCCCTTAGTGTGAGTCCCACTGTTTACAATCCCATGTGTTTGAAGCATCAGTCTTGCACCACAGCAGTGTTGTGGAGTGAAGCAGTGCTGACAGAACTGAACTATGGAATTCCTATGCTCAGCTTCTACAAACGTAACAAGAGGGGGTTATTCGGCTCTTACCTAAGCAGCTGGTCAATGAGGAAGCTGGTTAGTTGGCAACTGTGAGGCCATCAGCCTCTTTGAAAAAGCTACGGAGTTTACTGTCCGAGATGAGAGAAAATGGCAACAATATTACTGTCACTCCACAAACCTTGCCTGTATGGCAGAGGGCACAACCTATCTCAAATCCTGCATGACCTGTCCAACAAAGAAATTAAGTAATACTGTAAACATGGTAAAAGGTTCTCTGGTCCAATGGGACAACTGGCACTTTTTTGGTCTAAATGCAGTGTTACATCTGACACAAGCAACATAGAGCATCACTCAGTCAGCACCATCCCTCCTGTCAAACATGGTGGTGGCAGCAGTATGTTCTAGTCCTGACTCTCGTCAGCAGGGACTGTCAAGCTTGTCAAGATTAACAAGAGAATAGATGGAGCAAAGTACTGGCAAGTCCTAAAACTAGGAGAAAAACCCACCTTTACTAGGAGAGTGATTGAAAGCACAAGTCCGAAGCTCCACTAATATGGCTTTAGTATAAAAAAGTGGATTCCTTGAATCAATTTTCAGTCCATTAACCAGCTTCCAGTAAAAATCAGAAGCCTAAATGTTCCACAAAAGTCTAAATTTACAATATCTAATGCTGATATTGTATTCTTATAATGCTGTAGCTTGCTCAAACAGCTCATTTCTGAATCCATGTTGACTATTCCCTAGTATCTGACTTCCCTATACTGTAGGTGATTCTCTAATTTATATCTAATACTTGTTCCATAACCTTACATAAAATAGAAGTCAGATTTGTTGGTCTATAATGACTTGGATATCAGTATTTCCTGCCTTCTTATGGATGTGCACTACATCAGCACTTCTCCAGTCCCTGCATACTATCCCTGTCCTCAGAGACTGTTGGAAGAGTTCTGTCAGTGTCTTCTGAATAACATTTTTTGTTTCCTTGAGTATAGTTGGAAAGATACCATCAGTCCTGAGATTTCATTTAATCTTGGGTGGCTCTAGTACCCAAATATTGCTCCCTCTTCTATGCCAATACAGTTTAACACAGACCTTTGTCCTTTGTCCTGCTCCTGAGACCTGTTCTGGACTCCTTCGTGAGTGAATACCTCTGTATGTGGGTGGTCACATACTGTATAGGAAAGTGAATTTAAAGAATTTAGAGAAAACTAGCCGGTGTACTTTGCAAATAGCTTGCATATAAGTAGTGGATGTACTGTAGTTAATCCCCCAAAAAATGTATCGGTCATGAAAGTAGAAACTGACCACATCCTTTCAGGTAAAGCAAAGAGGTTTATACAGTTATGCTTTCAAACAGAGAAATTACTATTCCACTGCTAAATCATCCCCAGATACAGCACATTCTAGAACTTACCTACCCTCTGAGATATTACCCTAGGAATAAACAAATGGCAAAAAAAGAGAAATCCATAAGTAATAATAATATCACTTTTCCCTTTGTTTGCTATTTAACAAAATTATCTTGTTTATTTTTCAATTCCAGGAACTTTAACCCAAGTTTATCTTCTACATCCAGGGGTTCAGCAGACAGAAGCGCTTTAGTTAGTCAATCATCTTCATTGTCATCAGAACTAAGGTAAAGTGTGTGCATTGTGAGCAGTCCAGGGTCTGTAATCAGAGAAGAAGGATGCAGTGTGTGCAGAGTGCAGTGCAGGATGTGTAATCAGAAGGAGAATGCAGTGTGTGCAGTGTGCAGTGCAGGATGTGTAATCAGAAAGAGAATGCAGTGTGTGCAGTGAAGGAATGTGTAATTAGAGAAGGAGGATGCAGTGTGTGCAGAGTGCAGTGCAGGATGTGTAATCAGGGAAGGAGGATGCAGTGTTAGGAGTGCAGGATGTGTAATTAGAGAAGGAGAATATAGTGTGTGCAGTGTGCAGTGCAGGATGTGCAATCAGAAGGAGAATGCAGTGTGCAGTGCAGGATGTGTAATCAGAAGGAGAATGCAGTGTGCAGTGCAGGA